AGCCATTTTGGCTCAAGCCGTGTGTTCCGCCCGCTTTCGCGCTCGCGGGGCCGCTTGGGATGGCACGGGATGCTGCTGCCTCACCCGAGGATCGTGCAGCAGGTGGTGGAGGCCGACGGCGTGGCGCTGCGGGCGCCCGTGCCTCTGCTGATGCTCTCATCGCGAAGCTCCTGGCCGAGGTGGCTCGGCTGCGGGCGCTGCTAGGGCCTGGCGAGGGGGAGACCTTGGACGCCGAGGTCGCTCGCCGCGAGGCACTTGCGCGGCCTGCGCTGCGAGCCAGAGTGGCTGGCCAGGAGGAGCCGCATGAGGAGCGGCTGGTACGCAACGTCGCCCTTCATGCACGTCGATGCCCGCCCGCAGGTGCGCCGCTACGGGAGTGGCGCAGTGCGCAGAAGGGCCCCAGACTGCAAGGGGCGTGCAAAGGCAGCGCGGCGGCACCGGCAGCAATTCCGGCTGTGCAGGCGCTCCTGGAAGGGGAGGGCGGAGCCTCCGAGCCTCCGCAGTGCCCCGCTGGAGCTGGCACTTGGCGCATGGACGCGCTAGAGGCCGTGCTGGCCAGGAGTGCAGGCAGGCGGAAAGAGCTCAACGCGGCGGCTGCGGAGTTCATTCCGTCGGGAGGGCGCTGGGTGCTGCTTCCCCAGCCTGCTGCACTCCCCGATGTGGTGCACGTGGGCGTGCGATGCACCTGCGGTGCCGTGGCCTTCACGAGCGTGCAGGAGCCTGCCGCCGAGGGGTGCAGCCTGCCGCGGATGCCGCTGGCCGAGGGCCCTGCGGGGATGACTGCCCAGGCGTTGGCCGAGGGCGGAGGCGCTGTTCGGGCCCCTACGGGGGATGGCTGCCCTGCCGCTGTGGCCGCGGGCGCTTCGCAGGCGGCTGTGCCTGTGGACGGTGCGAGTCACGGTGCCACCCCAGCGGGCCTAGTACCTCGGGGCTTGGGAACGTTTCCCATCTGTTCTCCTGTATGTTCGAGCGGCATCAGCGAGAAGATGTGGAGAGCAAGGTCGGAGATTTTCCGCACGTGGTTGGAGCCGCCCCTGCTGGACGCTCGGCGCCAGGCGAGGGTCTCGGAGAGGATTCCATTTCTGTCCTCTCGCTGTGCATTACTTCATTTTCTGGTGCTGCCTTTGTATGCTCTATTTCACGTGTTCTTTGGACGCTGGGAGTGAACGCTGATTTTAGCATGTGTCGTATGTGGCTTTCAGGTCTTTGCACATTCAGAGGATTGATTGTGGCTTCCTGGCACAGTATCTGCGATTTATTCTTCTTGTTTTCGAAGCACGGTGAGATCAGGCATGCATGTGTCTGCATCAGGGTGTGGAGTTGCCAACCGAAGGATCGATGTTTTCTCCTGGAAGGAGGGGTGCTTTGAGTGGATTCGCTTTACATGTCGGCCGCGGATTGCTGTTTGTAGCGGAAGACTGTGCATTGCTCGTAAGCGTTGAATGTGGCCTCCTGGTACACCATAGAGTCATTGTATGCGGCTTCCTGGCGCCAGAGCATGCATCAGTCGTGCGCGGCAGCAGCTTCTCGCTCGCCTCTGTCAATCGTGTCCCTCCTTGCGTCTCTCCTCCAAGAGAGTGATTGCATCGATGTTCCACCTCCTCCCTCCCCGCCTCCGTATTATCATGCATCCGCAGGCCTGTCCCGTCACAGCCTGCACTGCGTTTGTGGGGCGGGGTGGGGGCTGCGACGTGAAGGACGTCGGGTGGAGGACTGCGACGTCGCCCCACGGGCGAGGCAGGCCCCCGGGCGCGAGAGAGAGCCGCGGGCGGCCTCCGTCTCCCGTGTTGCCTGGCTGCCCCGAGGCGGGCTGCAGGCACCACTTCAGCCTGACCTCCTCCTTCCTCCCCTTCCCTCTGCCAGTAGCAGTTGCCTGCAGATGTGGGTGGGCTGGAGGAGAGGGAAGGGGTGGGAGTGGATGACGACGACGGTCGGTTCGGGGCCTGGGGATGTCCGCCCCAGGGAGGTGGCCCAGGCAGGTCCGACCCGATCGACATGTGAGGCCTCTCCGAAGAGGAAGGCCTCTTCCTTTTTGTCTACTGCTGCTCCACGAGTGGCCTCGAGACCAGCTGTGCAACCGTGCAACCGAGGAGGAGGAGGAGGAAAAGGAGGAAGGAGGAGGAGGAGGAGGAGGAGGAGGAGGAGGAGGAGGAGGAGGAGGAGGAGGAGGAGGAGGGAGGAGGAGGGAGGAGGAGGAGGAGGAGGAGGAGAGGAGGAGGAGGAGGAGGAGTCGAGCGTCGGAGGAGGAGGAGGAGGAGGAGGAGGAGGAGGAGGAGGAGGAGGAGGAGGAGGAGGGAGGAGGGAGGAGGGAGGAGGGAGGAGGAGGAGGGAGGAGGAGGGAGGAGGGACCGCAAAGTCTTTGCAGGTGACTTTGGGGGGCGCGCGATCGGCCAGCCCCCGCTGCTCGAGGGCAGCCCGCGGTGGAGGGAGCCTGCACCGAGACCGCGCCGGATCGTGGGGGGCCACGGTGGGGTGAAGTCGGGCGTGTCCCCCTACAGGAGGATGTTCGGCGAGAAATGAAAGATACCCCCAAAATACTCAAAAACTAATCAAAGGCCATGGTCAAAAATACTCAAAACTAGTCTATCTAAGTATGAGACAACATGGCCAAAAAATGCTCAAACAATAGTCCCCAGACTATTGCTTGATTATTTCTGAATACTCCTCCTGTAGAGGGACGGGCCCGACTTCATGGTAGGGGGGGACGGGCACGGGGAGGCATGCTTTGACCTGGAGTCGACGGCACGTCGCCGATCGATCGGCGACGGCCCCACGATAGGGAATCCGCAACTCCCTGGGCGGGTTGGTCCTATCAGCCCCCTATAGGGGATCAACGGTCGATTGGGGGTCGATGCATCCCCCCCCGTTCGGGCGATGGCAGGACTGGGTTGAGTTGGACCTGGCTGAAAAAACTGTACCGGGGACGCCCCCCCCTCATCCCATTCCACTGACCGGACTTGCCGTCACCCGAAGAGCACCAGCTACGGCAGACCTGGTTGAGTGATCCCCATCCATATTTCGGGCTTCGGGGCCCAATCACTAACCCGCTCCCCTTACCCGGGGTCCTGGCTATACCCGACCTATGCCTATCCCCCCTACAGTCGGCCTTGATTGGACAGGACGCGCGAGAGGACACAAGACCCTTCCGAGGGCCACATCGCCATCGGAGTGTGGGAAGGCACGTGTCGCGAGGCACAAGACACCAGGGTACCCTTGACCTGGCAGGGTCGACCTACTAATCTGGGCCGACTGTATGGTTGCCCCTGAAGCCGTCTGAAAACCTGAACCTCGGACCTCAGCCGAGCGTGAGAGAGGATCACGGGGGCGGCCAAGAGGGGGGCGTCCAAGAGGGGGGGGTGCAAATCATGGCCGGCGGCATGTGCGCGGCCCAGCGGGGGGGCCAGGGACGTGATGAAATAGGAAGCCGCGCCATGAGATCTGGGGAAATATCATGGCCCCCGCCATGAGATCCACCCCCCCCCTAGTCTGCCGCCCGGGGCCGCCTGCCTCCCCCGGCCTCCCTTTGCACAGCCCCCACCCCTCGGCCCGGAGACAACGCCCAGAGACGGAGCCGGAGACAAAAAACCGGGCGTGCATAAGCAGCGTATCTCCGAGATCCGGCGGAATTTGGAGGACGCATCGGGCGCCGCGGCCTTCGCTCTTTTCCGCCCCCGAGGATCGCGGGGACGGCTCCGCTCATCGCGGGGCGCCGGGCGAGGGGCAGGGCCTGCCGAGAGGAGGCAGGCGGGGAAAACCTGCAGCACAAAAAACGGCAGTGCGCAGCTCGCCCTCTTCAAACGTGGGTGCCACGTGCATGGTTTCCCCCGGGGCCGTAGGCGACCCGAGGAGGAGGAGGAGGAGGCGGAGGAGGAGGAGGAGGCGGAGGAGGAGGAGGAGGGTTAGGAGGAGGGCGAGGAGGAGGGGGAGGAGGAGGAGGAGGAGGAGGAGGAGGAGGGGGAGAAGGAGGAGGAGATGGAGGAGATGGAGGAGATGAAGGAGGAGGAGGAGGAGGAGAGGAGGAGGAGGAGGAGGAGGACGGGTCACCTAAGCCCTTCGGAGAAACCCTCCGGTGCCAGTCGGGCGCGCTTAAATAAGGCATCACATACCGAGCAGAAGTGTTGTTGTGCTGACATGCTTGTGCGTCGTTGAGATCGCATGCGGCCGTGAAGTACCCTCTACGAAAGCGCGCCCACCCCCCGGTCAGCAGCCAGCCCGGCAGCAGGCACAGCGGAGACCATGTAACACCCGGACAGTATAGCGACTGATGCTGTGCTGAATGCTCAGCGCGTCGGTGACAAAAACTCACGCTCGCCCTGCCCCGCAGGGGGGACAACAATACTCACACGCCTCTACTCCCGAGGAGGAGGAGGAGGAGGAGGAGGAGGAGGAGGTGGACGAGGAGGAGGAGGAGATGGAGGAGGAGGAGGAGGAGGAGGAGGAGGAGGAGGAGGAGGAGGAGGAGGAGGAGGAGATGGAGGAGGAGGAGGAGGAGGAGGAGGAGGAGGAGGAGGAGATGGAGGAGGAGCGAGGACCCTCCGGACCCTCTACTCCCCGGACCCTCCCCCGGGGTGCGCCCTGACAGGAACTCCGAGACCCAGCCAGCCTTGGCGACGAGGGCAGCGGCCTCGGTATACTGCGAGCCTCGTGCGTGCTATAGCACGCAGACTGGCGAACGAGGCACCAAGGGGGCTCTGCCTGCCACGGCCAGCCGCGGCCACGAAGAGGCCTCTCCCGACCCAGATCTCGGAAGCGGTCCGCGCCAACCAGAGCGCCGCCTGGGCCCGAAGAGGACCCTGGGAGCGTTTTTGTTATTCAGCGTTTCGGCAAGGGAGGGGGGGAGGGGGGAGTGGTCTGGCTCCGGACCTCTGCTTAAGGCGACTGTTTGGGACCGTGCGTCCTCTGGGTGAGACTCCAACCGCTCGAGATAGGTGTCAAAGAGCAGCCAAGATCTCCTCCAGGGGGGGGGAGGGGGGGTGCGAGGGCCCGCGCCGATCGACAAAACCATGAATGACAAAAACGATCCCCTTGTTGACTGTATGCTCCTCGTCTGACCCCGTTCACCGCAACAGGTCAACCGAAAACCGACCGAACCGACTGAAGGGGCCCTGGGACACACAAATAAATACACACAAATGAAAATATCCCCAATATTTTCCCATATTTTCTGGGTTGTTGTCTTCCCGCCCAATTCCCATATTTTCCCATATTTTCTGGGAATCGACGATTAATTGTGTCTGTGTGTTTTTCCCCTTCCTGAGCAACAGGTCGACCGAAAACCGATCGAACCGACAGCGGTACCGAAACCGACCGAGGCCGAGAGGCCGCAGGAAGGCCCAGCAGGGGCGCGGCGACGCGGCAGCCGACCGAGCCGAAGCGACCCAACGCAGCCGACGGCGACGCAGCCGACTGGCGGCGCGCACGCGGGGGTAGGGGGGAGGAAGGCTTCTTAGAAGGAGGATGCTTCTCAGGAGGCGCTGATTCTGCACATATAACTATGCAAACACACACATATACCTATATCTATATATACCTATATATATGTGTATATATATATATCTATATATATATATATATATATATATATATATATGCGTATGCATAAATCAGGCCCGCGGCTTCTAAGCGGGGGTGCTTCTAAGAAGCCTTCCCCCCCATTCTGAAGGGGCCCTGGGACACACAAACAAATACACACAGATAACAGGATCCCAATGTTTCCCCATATGTTCTGGGTTTTTGTCTTCCCCCCCCACACTTCCCATCTTTTCCCATGTTTTCCTGGGATCGACGATTGATTGTGTCTGTGTGTTTTTTCCCCCTCCTGACCTTCCCCTGCACAGGAAGAGCTCAGCATCGAACCGATACGCCGCAGCGGCGATCGAAACTCCTCGCCGCGGCGAGAGCATCGGCGAAGCCGCGCCGGGCGACGTCGCACTTGGCGGCATCGGCAGGCCGGAGAGGCCCCCCACCGAGGACGCGCGAAGCAGCCACGCCGAACCCCGAGGTCGACTCGAAGCGGAACTGGAGGAGGAGGACCGAGGTCCTCGCCCTCCTCCTCCTCCTCCTCCTCCTCCTCCTCCTCCTCCGCCTCCTCCTCCTCCTCCTCCTCCTCCTCCCCCTTCTCCTCCTCCCCCTCCCCCTTCTCCTCCTCCTCCTCCTCCCCCTCCTCCTCCCCCCCTCCTGAGTGTGTGTGTGTGCTGGATCAGCGGTCGGAGTCGAATCGAATCGCAGGAACCGAGACGAGCCCTGCCCACCTCCCTCTGCTAGACGAGCGCGGACCACTACTCGCAGCTAACTGCTCGCAAGCTGCCCGGATCCGCCGTGGGTGGCTATACGATACATGCCACATCGAAGCAAGCACATGAATTTTGTTCCGAACTTCTGCGGATAGGCACTCTGCGAACAATTGGGGAAGCCAAGAGGTACCGATACCGCTACTCCCCAGACCTCTCCTGGGGTGCGCTCTGACCAGGATTTCCAGGCGAGTCCAGCGGCGGCGGCGAGGGCCTCCCGTGGGAGGCCCACAACACGGGAAAACGAGGCAAGGGTAGCGGTGGGGGGTACCTCCTCCTCCTCCTCCTCCTCCTCTTCCTCCTCCTCCTCCGCCTCCTCCTCCTCCCCCGCGGAGCAGTCAAGTGGAACGCGCTCGGTGATCTGCGCGTGGCCGACGA